CCCATCACTGCCATCCTTGGGGTACCCTCTGAGCCCCCCAAACCTCAGGGACCCCAAATATCCCCCCTAAAATCCCAGCCCAGCCCCAACCCACCTGGTTTGAAATACTTCCAGTTTTGGGGTCTCCTCAATCCTCTTTTTTCCCCAGACAGACTGGTGGGGAATATTTTTGTTACTGAACCTTCAAAGAAAGTTCACAGTGCAAATTGTGGGCAGGACAGAAAATTGCTTTGACGTCTCTAATGTCCCTATAAGCAGCAGTACATTTGATAATGAGGAAATCACATTACAACCCCAAATTAAAGATGAAACCTTCTATGATAGTCAGGGTCTGTATACTGTTACTAAAACAGTGTGGTACACAGCAGCCAAGATAGCAAAATTCCAGGAAAAGTATAGCAGACTTACATAGTAATCGGAAACTGGATATGTTTGGAGAGTGCCTCTGGCAGAGGGTGATTAAATAATTTGTCTGAGGTGGAGGCCCAAGGCTTCTGAAGGCCAGAAGTATTTTCAATGGTGAGTGACCAGAGAAAACTGTGGTCTTTAACTCAGAGTGCCGCCTATTGAGCAGGAGGTTGCATCCATTAGAGAGGAGTGATTTGCTTAGGATCGAGACCCCAACCGTAGATCATGGGACAGAGGGTGTACAGAAGGCAGTGTTTTTGCAACTGATGAATGACAGATGTTCCAGGACAGCCCTCACCTACATCACTGGTTAACCAAGTATGTGGCTGCCATGGTTAGAGTTTTGCTGGACATGATAAAACACTGTGGCAGAATTTCAGGATCACTTGAAGCAAGTGTTAACCCCACAGAGAGGAAAACAAGGGAAAAGACCTTGTGGTGAAAGAGATCTTCAGGGTTAATTAGCTATGGCAGAAGGATGGGTGTCACTCAACAATTAGTAAACAGAACATCCAAATCAGGAGATTGGAATTGCACCAAGGAAGTAGACTGCCCAAAAGGGAGCAGCAGGGTGCCAGTGCATAATGGAATGCAGTTTGAGTGAAAGGCTTGCAGAAAGGAATTTCTTGAGAAGTGATAAATTATCCACTGCTGTTCTGGAGAATTTAGTACCTGGGGAAAAGGAAAGTTGCACTTTTTTGCCACAAGCAGGATAAAGATGTTGATGTGGGAGTTGGAATTCCTGGGAGACCTACCATTACTATGGCCTCACAGGCTAATGTTATTAATTGGAGTCTTAGAAACAACTTTTGGCATCCTCAGTGAGCCGGGGGCTGGCAGCTGCAAACATTTAAGGAAACTCCCCAAAAGTAAGATTTACACAGAAAATGAGGTATCAAAGTCACCAATGGCCTCTGAGATGGAGACAGGAGAAAAGCTGAGAATCCAAGTGGATCAACTTATGACTGAGAAAGACCATCTTAGGACCCTACTTGCTGCAGCAGAGTGTAAGGAAAGACAATTATTTTAGAATTTGAATAGGGAAAATTATAGAAGAAAGAAACAAGAACTGAGAGAGGAAACCTTATATATCCCTGTTACTGAGAAATGAACAGTTGCAGGAACAGTTCCAGGAAGAAAAAGAGAAAAGATGAAAACTGAAAGAAACAGCAAAGGTGATGCTTAAGCAAGCTACCAATTCACCCTGTATTGTGCAAGAGTCCATTCAGGTGGCTGATTTGCAAAAGCATTCCACGCACAAGCCAAGTGAGACTGAAATGCAACAAGTGGAGCCCTATCAATACATACTAATGACCCATACATCCAGATTCCAGTTGGTTCTTGTCAATGATTAATTACATTTCTAGTAGATACAGGAGCACAACATTCAGTACTAATGAAGCAAGATGCCAAGAAGCTGGGTGTATAACCCAGACACTAAGAGTTAAAATCACTTTTGTAAATGGAGAAAATGTTATCTGTCAAGCTGCTTATGGTTAATTTATGGGTCCTGGATGAGAAGTGGATATTGGCTACTTGCTTTGCAATCAAAGATCACAATGACAATATTTAGGGTTTTGATGTTCTGAGTGTTTAAATCTGTTGTCTGCCTGATGGCAGTGAGTCAGTGTTAATGTCTGAACATTAGCCCAAACCCTAAAAGGAATCCAGAGACTGTGCTGACTCCACATGGCACCTGCACTCCCTGATCCAAAGACTGCTAGTGTGTCCCCGTGCTGGATTTTTGCTGCAGGAAGAAGTGGAATTTCTGAAGTTCTGGCCAATGTGGTCTCACTAAGAGTTGAAATATCCAATTACTGCAAACCTAACGGCCACAATATAAGCACCCGTGTGCTTGGGCATTGATGGGGTGGTGACAGATTAAAAGAAAAAAGGTACTATCACTATGTCACACTCCTATCTCTCCTGTCAGAGACAGTGGACAGTGATCATTTTAACACTCCAGCCACATAGAACATGCCAGTGTTTAGCCAACGTTTGTTGCTGGCATTGCCATTATGTCACAGATCACAGAATATTCTGAGTTGAAAGGGACCCACAAAGATCATCAAGTCCAGCTGTTAAGTGAATGGGCCATACACAGATTGAACCAACAACTGTGGTTCAGCACCATGCTCAGACCAACTGAGCCAGTCTTAGGGTCTGGCTCATGAAAGTGCTGAACAGACAGTTGTGGCTTATGATTTATTACAGGCAGTTGGACACACCTACGATCACTGCAGTACTAAACTTTGCAGAACTCATAGCTGAAATTAGGAGAGCACACTACCCATGGAGGACAACCCAAATTGCAGGAGACCCCCCTGAAAACACTGGAAGCAGCAACAAGCAGTGGACAAGCACTTCATAAAATAGAAGCTGAGATTCCTCCTGAAGAATGTCAAGGCCTAACACCATGAAAGACTAAAGAAATATTTACTATTCAACTCAACCCCATTTAAAGAGATGGAACAGAGAGATTCTGAGTGGGAAAAAGGAATTTTGTCATTAGTCCAAGCGATTAAACAACTTGAGCCACTAAGGGGTAACCTGTTCAGGCTAATGCTGCTGAGACTAAAATACTGTTTTTTCTATCCAGGAATGATATCAGTAATGATGCCAGCACACCCCCACTTGAGGATCAAGTTAACCATCAAAGGACAGCTTATCCTTATTGCAAGAGCAATCACTGCCAGCAGGAAGCAAATTTGGTTCACATATTAACAAGTTCAACCCACAGGGTAGAGTCACTTATTTAAGCTAGTAAGTATGGTAACTTAGTACATGCATTCTACATCACACATGCTTTTCAGTTTTAAGTGCACTTAATTGAATGTGACCAGGGATTTTACCCATTACCCAAATTAGATAACACTTCCAATATTATGTCCAAGGATTGCTCCCACCAAAAAGGTGCCATGATAGAGAGGTAGAGAGGTCTTGGCTGGCCTTTACCTCCTCTGTGCAGCCTCTCATCAGCACTGCAAACACTGGGGCTACATGCTTTCCTTCCTACAGAAGAGAACTCTCTTCTCATCCAGAAGCCCATCATTCAAACATGGATACCACCTCTGATATTATATATGCTCAAAGATGACTCTCATACAAAAGCTGCCAGATCAGAAAGCTTTTGTTGATCTTTACCTCCCTAGGGCAGCCTGTAACTTCCACCTAAACCACTGGGGCTATATCCTTTCCTTCCCATGGTAAAGCATAATGACTGAACCTTCCAATCAGATAAGTCTCACTTCTAATACCCTTTCCCAATTCCTGGGGCCTCCCTGCCCTTCTCCCACTTTCCACTTTTCCTTTCCATTGTCCTACTATCCTTTTTTTATGTTCCCACAAATTCCTACCTCTTTTTCCTCCCTTCCACGGCCTCCCTCCATTAATCCCACTAATCCCTTTCCCCAGAGTTCCTTTGTAATACCAGAGGGAGTGAGATTGGGAGGGAAAGAAAAGCATGTTTCCCTAAAGTAACCATCTTTTTCTTAAAAGTTAAAAATTTCTGTTTTGGAGTTACCAAGAGGCACACCACCATGCACACTACCTCGCACAGAGTCAGTCACAGCCAACAACACTGCCACAGGTGCCAGGTCATCGAAGGCATCGGCAGGGATGGCTGAGAGCTGGTTCTGAGACAGGCAGAGCGAGCGCAAGGCACTGAGGCCCTGGAAGAAGCATTGTGGGACCACGTGCATCCCCTGTGGCTGCTGCGCCTGCAGCCTCAGCTCCCAGAGGCCGTTCAGGGAGCGGAAAGGCGGCAGCCACTGCGGGTGTGGGCTCAGGCAGCGCAGCACATTGGCAGCAGCTCCAGCATGCCCAGGGTCACCTGCACCAGCTGCAGTGTGGCCACGCTCACCTCCAGCAGTGGCTGTGGGCCAGGGAAAGCCGGCAAAGCTGCGGGAGGCCCTGGAATGCCACGGCTGCCCAGTGCCGCAGGTTGTTCCCGCCCAGGCCAAGGGGCTGCAGGCAGTGACAGAATGACCCACTCAGGAGATGAGGGAAGGGCCGTGGATGGATATTTATAGACAGCAGTAAAGCCTTTGGCACTGGAGGAGCTGGCTGCTCATGGACTGGACAGGGCAACTGTTTGCTGCATGAGAAACTGGCTGATGCCCAAGCCCAGAGAGTGGTGGGGAATGGAACTAAATCCAGCTGGGGCCAGTCTAGCAGGACGTGTTCCCTGCCTCAAGAGCTTGTTAATTGGTGAAATAAATCACTAAAAACCGCTTGTCTCGTGGTTATTTGGGTGCCATGGAAGCAGTACTTCTGGCTGACAATAGACATCTTGCTGTGGAAGCAAGATTGTGGAAAGATAAGCTGGAATTTCTGACAGACACTTTACTTCACAATCTATTAAAGCTACACTAAACTTTCACAAAGTAGAAGTTTCTGCACAATTCCTGGAAATGAGTGGGACTTTTCCCTCAAAGTTGGGATGTGGGTTTTGTGGTTCCTCTCTTGAGGGTTGAGTGAAAAGTCTCTGTGCACATTCTTGCCAGTTTGTTGGTAAGTTACATTGACTCCTAATCTATGTTATTTCTTTCCTAGCTTTGATATAGGAACCTTAATGTTGTGCACCATTTTATGAAATCTACTAGTAGTTCTTCTGTTTTATACTGTGTAGTAAGTAACTCTGTTCAAGACCTTTTGTCTAGTATCTCCAGTCTATTCAAGAAATAACTAATTTCATAATAGACCTGATCTGCCACTCTTAGAACTTGCGAGCCAGAGTGGTTTAGGTGCAGGCCACCTAATTCAAGCTGTACCCAAAAATATTAGCCTAAGACAGGGTTTGTCTGAAGCTCCCACTCTATCCATAACACCCAATTACTTGTGGGTGACCCCAGGAATCAGTGCTGGGTCCAGTCCTGTTCAACATCTTTATTGATGATCTGGATGAGGGGATCAAGCGGAAGTCATTTAATTTCACATAATTTCACAAATGACACCAGCTTGTGTGGGACTGTGGATCTGCTCGAGGGCAGAAAGGCTCTGCAGAGGGATAAGGACAGGCTAGATCAAGAGGTTGAACCTGTCTTCTCCCCCATTGTGATGCCTATTGGGTAGGAATAATGCCCCAAGTGCCTCCACATGAGGGACTGGAAAGGGCTTGGAGCAGTTCCTGAGAGACTCACACCCCCCAACCCATCTCTCCCAGGAGCTTTTTCATCAGGTTTTCTCTTGCTATTTCTTCCTGAAGCATGAGTGATGGAGCAGCCTGGGAGGGCACCTGGGGTGAGCCAAGGTTTCCTACCCCAAACCTCCCCCACTTTTAGAATCCCAGGCTGGTTTGGGTTGGAAGGGACTTCTAAGGTCATCTCCATCCACCCCCTGCCACGGGCAGGGACATCTTCCACTATCCCAGGTTGCTCCAAGCCCTGTCCAACCTGGCCATGGACACTTCCAGGGATGGAGCAGCTGCAGCTTCTCTGGACAACCAGTGCCAGGTATCTCACCACCCTCACAGGGAGGAATTTCATCCCAATATTCCACCTAACCCTGCCCTCTGGCAGGTGAAAACCCTCACCCTCCATCCTGTCCCCTGACAAAGACCCTCCCCAGCTCTCCTGGAGGCCCCTATCTGTATTATATTTTATCTCTCTATTAGATTTATACCTACATACATATCAGCCCAAAAAGTAGCTCAGGCAGTCCAACTGGGGTAGCCCCTTTTGGGGGGAGTGCCGAGGGTTTGGGCAGATCTATGGGTTATTTTAGACAGCCTCAGGAGGTTTTAGAGGCAGGTTTGGGAGGGTCCTGAGGGTTTTTAGGGTGTTCGGGGGGGGAGGGGGACCTATGGAGCATTTTGAGGGGATTCTGAGCATGTTTGGGATCTACTGGGGAGTCTGTAGGGGATGGAGGGGGGGTCTCTGGGGTTTTGTATACTCCACATCCCCAAAGCCCTCTCAACCTGTTCTTCATCTGACAGGATTTTCTCCACCTGTCAGGGAAGTTCACTACACAGACTCTGTTCCTGATGTGATAAACGAATCGACCAAATTTAAGAACGGTACAATTATCTTTATTATTATGCAAGCAAGAATAAGCAAGATTCAGCGCTGGGCGGCCCAGAGTCTTTGCTCCTCTTAGGCGCGCACCTCCCCCCTTTAAAGTTCGCTTTTTATTGTCCTTTTTCTCCGGATTCCTGGATGACGTGGTCCGTCTTCTGCACGTGCTCCTCCGGTTGCTAGGGGGTCTTTTTTTCTGCCTTCTGGTGGCCGTAGGATGAAGGCCCCAAGTCTTCCTCTTTTTCCGCTTTCCTTATAAGGCATATCTATAAGTCTAATTTTTACAAGCTCAGCATTCTTGCAAGGTTAATAATTGTTACCGTATGTGTTTCAGAAAGTCTCCTATATCTATGGGATGGAATTTTGCAAAGCAAGCAATTCTAGTGAGGTTAGTAATTGTTACCAGATGTAGCTGTATCTGGTTACCAGAGGGGGGGTTTGTAACCCAAGAAATTCCTTAAAAGTTTTCCCATACGGCCGCATAGGTATCCTGCTAAACAAGAGCTATTTAGCTATTGTTTTATAATTTAAATTATCTAGCTATTAATGAACAAATACATTGTTACTTATTACACCTGATTCCCATGAAATTTTGATGCATGCAACATGCAGGAATGCTTTTCCTGCAATTTCCCTAGCTCCAAGAGGGACCACGGGAGTGGCACGAAAAAGTGCGGAGGCCTTTTCATCCTAAACATCGGCAATTGCAGTTTTGATTCAAATTTTAATTAAAGGCTGAAGTGTTGCTGATACTGCGATAGAGTCAGGGTCTTTCTCTACATTGTTGTCATCAACCCAATTCCCAGGAGACACTTGAGGGGTGCTTGGAGGCCAGCTGGGGGATCATTAAAGGGTCTGGAGAGGCGCTTAGGGGGCAGGGAGGCAGGTGCAGAGCACTTGGGGGTCTGAGGGGACACACAGGCGGCATTTGGGGGAAGTAGGGGTCGGTGGAACTTCGGGACCCTGAGGGGCACTTGGGGGTCAAGAGAGGGAAACTGGGGGTACTTACGGGGCCCCGGGGCGCACTCACGGCTCAGGGGAGCACTCGGGGAGCAGCTGGGACGGTGCTTAGGGGACAGTCCCGGCCCTGACTGGCCTCTCGCGGGTCGCGGGGCATGACGGGAACCGCAGTCCCGGCTCTATCGGCGTCCTACGGGGCCCCGCGGTCTTTCGGGAGTTGTAGTCCAGGAAGTGAGTAAACTGGCGCGGAACCAGCGGCCAGTGGGAGGCGAGGAGGGACACAAGGGATTTTTGGGGGCTCAGGGGGAGCTTGTGACCCCCCCCCCCCTTCACCCCCAGCGCCCTCAGGGGCGGAGAGCCACCAGAACCCCCCGGCACCACGTCAGCTGTGTGAAGGTGAAGAAGACAGGTGAGCTCCACTCCCACGGGTTTGGGGGCTCCCTGCCCCGAAATGCCCAACAAAGCCCCAGGCACCCCTATAGACTTCCTGGTTCCCATAGACCTCCCAACGCCGTCCTGGGCCCCCCAAAACATCCCACAGACCCCCGGACCATTAAAGACCTCCCAAAGCCCTACCTGGACCCCCAATTCCTTTCAGAGATTTTCCTCAACACTCCTAGAGTCTCCCCCAAAAATTCCACAGACCTCTTCTAGATGCCCTATAGATACCCAGTGCACCCCTAACCACTCCCAATTTCCTGCACTCCCCATACATCCCCCCCAAGTCCCTTCTGAAATAAATAACGCAGGAGATCTTTCTCCATTTTAACGCCTTTATTAAAAATCAGCTTGGGTGGTGTGAGAGTCTGTCCGAAATATCCCTCCTCTGCCTCACAATTGTCATTGGGGGACCACTGAAGAGAAGACCCCACTGTCTAGGATCTCTGGCTCTGAAGGAGAAAGTCTCATGCCAAAGGCCCTGAGACCTGAAAGCACAGTGTTAGTTGTTTTCACAGGTGTTGTTTGCTGTATGCTAAGAAGGGGGCACCCTGCCCCGTTTGCAACAATAGCAGCTCTGGAAGCTGTCCCACCTCTTGGCCTGGCCGGACTTCTCCTGAGTTTCAGGTGGGCTCCCACAAAAGACCCTCACCTGTTGTACAACTACCGTGACAGACAGACTGGGATGTAAGAAGCCTCTCCATCAAGGACTGAGATATGAAACTCCTAACAGGCCCCTCTGCTCCTTCCAAGGACTGGGACTGAAACCCCCAGCCCAGGGGAGGTGTGTGGGGAGGCAAGCTGACCAAAGAGAGATGTTTGCCTGCAGGTTGTGACCACTGGACCAAGAAAACAATGGCTCTCATTTACTGCTGAGAACATAGACTACATGCTACATCTATTCCCTATTGTATCTGTTTCCCCACCCCTCACAATTTTCAATAATAAAAACCTCTGAGTTAGCTAGAGATTTTGAGATCTCCCCGGACATGGCCTGGTGATGGCTGTTGGGAATTTAGCTGCTAGAGACTGGAAAATTACAAAGCCGTGGCTAATTCCAACTCCTGCACCTGCAAAGATAGTGTGTCCTTGGGCCTAGCTGTATAGTATAGTAACAAATAACAAGTAGTGAAAGAGACATGAGAAAAGAGAGATGTAACCCCTAAGGAATGAGGAAGAGTGCATGGTATAGGTTAACCAATAGATTGCTTGGCTTACAGAATATTCATAAGCTTATTATTTGCTGTAGAAGTGTTTGATTTTTTCTTCAGTATACTGGACTGGAACTGCTGGACCTGTGATGAACCATCTGGAGTCCTGGTCTCCTTCCTATGACAGATGGCAATGTCTGGACCTTCGAAGGACAAAAGCAGCATCACGTTTCGGTAGTTATATCCATCTCCCCTCTCTTCTGGGAAGCAGAGCCCCAGAAAAAGAATGTAAACAAATTGTTATTGGCTGTTGTGAAATGTGGCAGGTGATCCTGTGACTGGTTCATCTTCCATGTGTACCATTAAGGGCCAATCACAGGAGCAGCTCAGGGGAGATTCCTTGAACACAGAACTTTGTTATTCATTCCTTCTATTCTATTCTTAGCTTAGCAGCTCTCTGCAAGCTCTCTCTTTATTCTTTTAAGTATAGCTGTAATGTATTATATATTATATATCAATAAATCAAGCCTTCTGATCAAGGAACAAGATTCTCGTCCTTCTCTCACCACAGCGACCGCCTCAGTTCGCTGTAATTCCCCCTGATGTAGGTCCTGGTGCCCTCACAAAGGAATCGTGTGTGTGCGTGTGTGCATGTGTATACACTGTCTGGGAAGGAAGAGACAAACTTGATGTAACCACACAGAGCCTCCCAGCAGATTCTGTCTGTTCAACTACCCAGGGAAGCAAGCGGACACTAGTAAGGTTGTGTGATTTGTGTAACTTGAGTTTACAATTAACTCCCTGGTGTGGTTTTGGTCCCCTCACAAAATTACTAAAAACTTCAGTGCTAAAGCAAAAGCTGACTTTTACTCGTTGCTTGCTAAACACAATGCAAAACCATCACCTGGTGGAGAAACTTGGGCAGAGAACAATTGGTTTAATTTGGGAAAATGTAATTGATAGAATATGTTCTCCGCAACACGAATCAAAATTCAAGCTGGGCACAAATAATAAAACAATCCTCTGCTCCGTTTTGGGAGCCTGCCTCACAGCGGCCATAGAAACTCGCTTTAAGTGGAAAAGTGAGGAAAATGCTATCATAGACTCCCTCCAAAACCTAGTTGAAGTGTTGCAAAAACAATTAGATGAAGAAAGAAATGTAAATAACTTGTTCCAGGCTGCCCTGAGAGAGGAACATGTTAAAAATTCACATAATGCAGATTCCTCAAAGGAAACAGAGGAGAAAGAAACTCCTCACATTAATCAAAATTGCTCTCAAATAGAATGCAACCATATCTATAATGAAGATCTTGACCCGCACATAACCACTAAAGAAATCCCGTACACTGCTACTGAATTAACAAAACTTGCAAAGCAGTACGGGCTTCTCCCTCAAAAATCTGAAACAGAACACATTTGTCAAGTGTCTCTCACTGGGGGAGATCAGATTCTTTTGTCAGAACAAGGAGCCGCTGGGTGCTGGGGACATGGGGTGTTCCTAACAACAGCAGACAGACGCATCCCATGGTCCCTAACTCAGCACCCAGCTCATTGGGCAGGGGGGCTTATCCCCTTGGAAAGGAGAGACCCTTTGATCGGTACCCTCAACCAACTCCTGGAAAACATTCACAAAGCCACAAATGCCTGCAATTTGATTAAGAAATTAATTCCTGATTTTGAGTCACCAGTGAAATCACCCGTAAAGCCTGAAATTATGGCCTCTTTAACTCAAGGGCTTCCAGGAACACTTCAGCCTACAGCAATTCCCCTTCAGAAAACCATAGTAGCTACGTCTCCTATAGAAAGACCAGATAAACTTCTTAGTAACCAGAATGACCTTTTTGTTCCCTTTTATGACTTGCTGAGAAAAAGAACACAATGTGATTGGACTTCTTCTCAGGAAGAAACATTGCAATTACTGATTTTTGAAGTGACAGCACACCAAGTACTGGACCCTATGCATCCTACAGACCCCTTTCAGGTGGAGTGGGGATTTGCTTCCTCACAGCATTCAGTACACATTTGGCAGTGGGGTCCTGAGGGTCTGACAAAGCTTGTTGGTTTTTATTCCTGTGGTTTCGAAGATGCTGAGAAAAGGCACGCTACCTGGGAACGGGGGTGTTTGTGGTTGGCTTGGCTCCCAGGGAGGTGGAGGAGAACTGGGCAATCCAAGAAACTGGGAGCTTGGGTAGCAGACCTCTGAAATTTGGGGTGGGGATGTCTTACCAGAGGCTTCCCCTTACAGCCCAGCGGTGGCATCGCAGCATCCAGAGGAGGAGGTCCCCAAGAGGGCCTGGGGGGGCTGCATGTCACGGGAGGTGGCAGTCTCACTAGGGACTTCCTGAGCTAGAAGTGTCTCCCCAACCCACAAATGCCCCCTCAGCCCCTCAAGTGGCTGCTGACCCACACCTGCCCCCCCCACCCCACAAGTGACCACCCCGGCCCACAAATCACCACCTGGCCCAAAAGGGCGCATCCAGGCCCATCGGTGACCCCTCTGACCCACAAATGCCCCCCAGCCCCACAAAGGTGCCTCATGACCCTGAGTAGCCCCCAGCCTTTGAGTGACAACCCTGTGACAGTGTTCATAGGGGTCTCAGGTTGAGGAAGGGACAAGAATTTGACTCTATATTTCAGAAGGCTTGATTTATTATTTTATGATATATATTACATTAAAAGTATACTAAAAAAATAGAAGAAAGGATTAAAGGATTTTCTCAGAAGGCTAGCTAAGAAGAGAAAAAGAAAGAATGATAAAAGATTTGTGTCTCAGACTCTCTGTGCGAGCCAGCTCACTGTGATTGGCCATTAATCAGAAACAACCAACATGGGCAAATCAAAAATCTATCTGCTGCATTCCACAGCAGCAGACAATTAATGTTTACATTTTGTTCCTGAGTCCTCTCAGCTTCTCAGGAAGAAAAATCCTAAAGAAAGGATGTTATGAATGAGAAGCTTGACTAGGCCAATATTCAAGCAGCAATCAATTTATTATTTAATATGGTAAAGTATGAGAAATACAGCGCTGGGTACAGTGGGGGAAGTTTTCCCTCCATCTGCACACCGTTAATTGATGGTTACAGGTATTTATAGGGGTACTCATAAGCTTTCTCAACAGTTTCTATTTCCAATTTTTACTCATCAGCAGTTTCTATTTCCAATTTTTATGTCACAATTCTATACACTGTTGTGATTTAGTTTTTTTCAGGGTGTATCTCAAAGGAGTATCCCCAGATGGTGATGGTCCAGTTTCCGAAAGAAGAAAGACGAATCCCATCTGGTGGAGTCCAGCTCCCCAGATGTGTGTCCACCCTTTAATTGCAGAGACTATAAATCTCATAACAGTGATGTCCAGCTTCCCTTTGGTCGAAACCATAAATCCTTGAGGTGATGTTCATCTTTTTTTCTCAAAGTGCTTCAATAAGGTGTGAGATAAGCATATTTCCTTTATATATGTTCCAAAGCTATAGTTTCGAGGATACAAGTAATATTCTAAAATTATACTTCAAAAGGTTATTATTGCAGAGCTTTTTATGGATTAAATGCAAACAAAAAGCAACATCCTTAACACCTTAATTCCGATGCTCCTAAATTAACCAGGGTTAATTGCAAACAAAAGATAGGTTCAAAGGCCTTTTTCCATGCTTTATTTTCCTCAGTTATTATTAGAATTTGCAACTATCCCATTGTCGGTGTCCACACATCTCACATTCACAAGTACACACGTCGCCTGTTTGTACCTGACACGAAACACAGCTTTGCATCTCACACCAGCACCTCCCATGCACGCTTTTGTGAAATACAAAGCTGTGTTTCGTGTCATGTACATACAGGCAACGTGTGCATTTGTGATTGTGATATCTGTGGAAACTGACCATGGGACAGTTATAAAGACGAACTCTAATAAATAACTGAGGAAGTAAAGCATGGAAGAAGGCCTTTGAACCTATTCTTTGTTCGCAATTAACCATTATAAGTCTTAACTTGATTTAGGAGCATTTAAATTAGAGCTTTAAGGATGTTGCTTTTAGACAGGAACTTTCTGCTTGTAACTAAGCCCAAAAGAGTTTTGCAATAATAACCTTTTGAAGTATAATTTTAGAATATTGCTTGTAGTAAGGATCTTTGAAACTATAGCTTTAGAATATATAAAAAGGAAACATGCTTATCTCATGCCTTAACAAAACAGTGAAAAGCAGCTTGAGAAAGGAAGATGAATATCAACTCAATGATTAATATGTCGACCAAGGGAAGCTGCACATCACTGTTATGAGATTTATAGTCCTTGCAATTAAAAGGTGGACTCACATCTGCAAACTGGAACCCCATCAGCTGGGATTTTTTTTTCTTCTTTTGGAAGCCAGATCACCATTATCTGGGGATACTCCTTTCTAGGATACATCCTGAGAAAAATTAAATCACAACAGTGTATAGAATTGAGACGTAAAAATTGGAAATACAAACTGCTAAGAAAGCTTATGAGTACCCCTATAAATACCTGTAAGCCTCAACTATCGGTGTGCAGTTGGAGGGAAAACTTCCCCCACTGTACCCAGGGCTGTATTGCTCATACTTTACCATATTAAATAATAAATTGATTGCTACTTGAATATTGACCTAGTCAAGCTTCTCATTTATAACACTTTGTACTAAAATGAGGTCATTAGTCCTTCATGAGTGCACATTTCTTCTCTTGAATTGGGTTGGTGGTCTTGAATTGGGTCAGTGGTCCCAGGGAAGAAGACAGGAAGGTCTTGGTCAGGTCTCTCTGTGACCCTCTGGCACAATCCAAGGCCCCCTACTTC